TTTGCACCTGCATTGGCCTCTCCAAGAGCCAAGTCCGCCAGGCGATTCGACATAGGGCAACCCCAGAACCAATTTCGAACATTGCAATGAAGGGGACTTCACAAAACTAGGTTCATGGATGATATGTCAGGCCTTGTCCGGGTGGACAGTTTTAACGCTATTATTCATAGTTGCATTTTCACTTGCATTGATTTCCTTAATTTGATGGCTTGCATGGCTTGCACAAGCAATCGCCAGGCCATCATCGAGAAAGAAGCCTACACCATTCCACAGATCAAAAAGGCCTGCAAAGCGGGTACTGGCTGTGGTGGCTGTGTCACACCAGTGGGAGAAGTGCCAAAGCTCCTGGCACACACTTTGAAGAAGCTGGGGAAAGCCACAGCCACCGGCATTTGTGCTCATTTCAGCTACTCCAGGTGCCCAAGCGTTCAAAGTCAGCCCTTTTACTTTTATGACCATAGGGCTCATACATAAGGAATGTGCAGCGGGTGCGCAGGGAGCAAAACACAAGGCCTATGGCAAAACGGTCCGCAAGGAACGCGCTCGTTTTCCGCGAACACTGAGTTCGACGTGCTGGGTGCACAAAAGGGGCCCCCCCTGAGCAGAAAGGCCAACATGCGAAAAAGGGTCAACTGCACATGCCGCTGGAGGTTCTCGCACCGGTAGAAAAACCTTCTCAGTCTTTGACTGACCTCAGCGGCTTTCGACCCAAGCTCTCTAGTGCTCCACGGCCAACCTTCTTGTTCTTCTTGGCGCTGTTGTGAAGCTCGGGTCATAGGCTATTGCCCAGGTCCAGGTGGTGAGGTAGCGGAGCATGCTATGCCTGCTGTCTTCTTTCTTCTTCATCAGGGCGTCGGCTAAGTCATAGTCGCTTGCCAACCACCTCAACTCACAGCCGGCCCGCTTGAGGTTGTCCCTCAACTGAAAGGCCTGGAGGGCCGACCTCATGTTTGAGAGGCCCAGCATGGGAGATTCGTTGATCTCCATGGCGTCGTAGCCGCCACGAGAGTCCGTGCAGAGCACGCCACGGACCAAGCGAGCAACAGCTTCCATCTTGTCCACCAGGTCGATGCCGCGAAGCTCCTTCACATCGAAGCTGGCGCCGTGGATCTCGGCCCATAAGAGTTGCTCTGACCCCAACGTCCTCAGCTTCCAGGATCGATCGGATCTCCGCGTCGTTGCTTCCAATCGCGCGACGCTTCAGTTTCCAAGTCCTCCATGCCAAGCAAGCTGCAGGAGCGGCTAGAAGGACCAGGCCGCCAGTGCTGCCACCCTTGCTTCTGTTTGCATGGCTTGACCCCCCATGGCGACGAACACGATGTCGTTCCAGCAATGGGTGTTGTCCAGGGCAAAGAACTCAAGCTTGGTGGACTGATTCCTTACCTCCTGTATCATGCGCTGGATCTCGCGCGCATGCTCGAGCGTGCCAGCAGTGGTGATCTCAGAGAGCAGGAGGTTGCATCTTGCCGTCAGGAGTGGTTGGCTTTATATCGCAAGCCATTGAAGACCTCCCAGGGCGAACTTGGAGTACCAGGCCCATAAACATCGCTCACCGCGGATTGCGACCGCGCCAAGCTCCTTGAAGCGAGCGTCCAAGGACAACCAAAGGCCTCGTGGAGCCGTAGTGCTGCCGTAGATGTTGCGCAAGATCCTCATGCAGGAGTTGTCTGGAATCTTGAGGGCCTCACGAAGTTCTGGTACCCCAGAAGTCCAGAGACGAGCATCAGCTTCTGTCGTGTGGTTTGAAGGAAAGCACTTGCGAGGTCCAAGCCAGTGAGCTTCCATTGGTAGAAGGTGGAGACCATCTACCAGTGTTGATCACAGGAGCACTGGTCTTGAAGTTGCGGTCAAGGAGATTGGGATGTTCAAAGCCAAGTACTGTAGAACAATTCTGGCTTTCGCCTTCTTGGTGCCCGTGTGATGAACCATTGTGCCCTCATTGTTCTGAGCATCGGCGAGGGCTTCAGCTTGTTCATCAGGAGGAATGGGTTTCCATACTACAGTAGCACCCATCGTGCTCGCAAAATGCGACCAGAGCCAACAGCATCTTTCAATTCAGCATCATTGAAACATCGACGCACGGCCTCATTCTTGAGAAAGGAGGACACTTCTTTGGCCTTGGCTCGATGAGGTGCTTCAAGTTCACCTCGGAGCTGTTGAGCTTCTTGGTGAGGAAGAGTACGGGGTTGTGGATGAAGTCCCGCTTCTTCTTGTGTGTGTTGAGGTCCACTCCGATCTCAATCGTGAGACATAGTCCTCAAGGACGTTGAAGATGTCATTGTGGGTGATCTCACGTTCTGCTTCTTCATGAAGAAGTTCCAGCTTGAGCTTCTTGTAGTCCGGTTCATCGACCGCGGAAGTGGCCTTCTTGTCGCCCTCAAAGCAAACCTTTTTGTAATCGGGCTCGTCAGCGGTGTTGTCCAAGGGAGGTGCAGTTTGCTTCTTGTCCTCATACTCATTCACCGGTCCTTCCTCCTCTGCGCTGGTGGGGTAGTACTCTTCGTCTGATACCTTCGGTGGAGGTGTCCGTGAAGACGAGGAATGTGCACCTTCTGGTAGAGGAACTGGATCTGGTAGATATTTAGGAGGACGTGGAGGCTTCTGTTCTTCTTGTCCAATCGGTGAGGATCGATGAACCTTCTTGTAGTCCTCAGGCCAGAGAGTGGACTTGCCAATAGCCCGTCGGATTGGAGCATAGGTCGCGCCATCAGGTTCTGGAGGTAGATCAGGGAGTTCTCGATCTTCAGGGCCAGGAACCTTGGAGGTGATATCAACATACTCACGTCGAGGAAGAACATCTTGAAGTGTCTTCCAACTTGAAGGATCTTCACCGGAGGTCAGCTCATAGTGAAGTCGTTCTGACTCTGTCACAGGTCTGACGGAGTGGACAGAGCAGCGCGAGAGTTTGCGCCCAACCAGAATCCAAAGGATATGCTGGCGATCATCTTCTTCACCTTGGTGAGGAACAGCCCAATGTGGACGTCCCGATTTCTTGTGGCCGCCTCTGGGACCTTGATGTTGTTCACCAACTTGTACTTGGCGCCATACCATCACCAGTTCAGTTGGCTTATAGCTTCGCAGTGGCTGTTTCACGGTGGTGTTGGTCAACTTACTCAGCACCCTTCTCGCACGAGATCTTCTGGCGATCTCTTCTGCAGCAAGACGAGCTTGGGAGACATTCACAAAGTCCAGTGCTGGATCAACTGCTCGCCAAAGTCGAACACCTTCATCTGAGATGGAGAGCTTTGCACCAAATGCCCACTGGTGTGAGGAGAAGCCAGCGGTGTACTCTGTGCTGTTCAAGGCCGATGTGGTCAGGGCCAAGGTGACTTCAGGCTTGTTCTCCATGGACTCTGTCTGAATGGCAGTTGCCACATGCTTCACATCTTGAATTGCCGCCTCGACAATTCCATGAGACCATGGTTCCTTCTCCGGAGGGAAGTGCAAGAGGATGTTCAGTTCCATCATGAACTCGTGGAAGCGGTTGGAGATGAAGCTTTTAGCATTGTCGGCCACGATCATCTTGGGCTTTGGATACTGTGCCAACCAGGCCATTGACAGAGCCCGGATCACTTCATCGGCGGAGAGCTCTGGGTAGACCTTGAGCAGGACAGCAACACGAAGCTTCGTGGCCAGATCTATCATCAAAAGAAATTTGCACTTTTGTCGTTGTCCCGGAATGGTCCATTCAGCCGTGTCTAAGCCGATTGCCTCCCATGCCTTGCAGAGTGAGTGGGTCGCTGCTGGAGGCACCTGACCAGGTGATTTGCTGCCAAGCTTCACGCGCAGCTTGCGCCTTCCAGGCCGGTGATCCAGAGTCTTTGACCAGTCGAGCCAAGTTGCGGCTCGTAGGATGTCCTGCTGCTCGATGAAAGTGGTCCAATCGAGCTTTCCATTGTTTCAACTCCAGCTCCGTGGGTTGAGGTTCAGCAGGATGTAGTGCGGATGAAGAGTCCTGATCTTGTAATGCAGGAAGTCCCCAATGTTGTTCTTCCGCGGCAAATAGTTCCTCCTCCAAGGTCATCATGGCTGGTACATCTTCCGTGGCGAAGAGCAACCGGTGGTTGGGGTCACTGATGAGTTCCTGTCGCCAAGCCATAGCGATAGACTTCACCAGCCGCCAGGGGTAATAAACACTCTTGGCTGTCTCAATGCCTTGGATGTAGGAGTGAGCATGGCCATCAGGACATACTCAAGCTCTGAACTTCTTGTGAAAGTAAGTGTGGACTGGTAGTGCGCACCATCCACTGCTTGCGAAGAAAGTCGCCTTCGCCATCCCTTTCTCTCAAGCCGAAGACACACCCGTCTATACGGCAAGGTAGCCAATCACGTCCATGACGTTCCAGAGAAGTTGGCCAGATGTTGAAGTGCAGGTTCTTGCCATCCGACACAAGGATATGGCCATTCGAAGAAAATGTCCATGTAGGGGTCCTCGATGATGGATTCTCAATGAAGCGAACAGCTTGCCAGAGCATGCGGCGTTCACGTCGCCGGTAGGAAGCAAGTAGCTCTTGACGATCCTGAGAGGCATAGTTCAATGAAGACCATCTGCACCACTTCGTGCAAGGAAGCGAGAACCATAGACGCCGAGGACGTTGTCGTCGGCGAAGAACACGTAGATGCTCCCAGGTCTCACGGCGGTAGAGGTCATAGCCAGAGGAGAGGTTGATTCGCCTGGGATTCAAGCCTTGCTGTTGTGAGAGCCATGAGTGTGGTGAGCAAGCTATTCCCACGCCATCTCTGCCATCCATGAGGAAGTCAGCCGCCATTGAGGTCATAGAGGTCACATGGTTGCCACCATCATCATCAGCTTAGTTGCCATCGACCTTTTCAAGGTGTGAACTTTGTTCAGACTTCACGTGTCCTCCTCTAGGTAGGCTGTTGGAAGTCCCTGAAGTGGAGTTGACTCGCTTATCAGCTCCCTCATCTCGCCATCCTGGAGGTAGGCCTTGAGGTCCTTCTCCAACTCTGATTCCGGATGGTTCTTCTTCGGAGTGGCTGTGGCTGATGGCACCATGTCCCAAGACTCCGGTGAACTTGAGTTCCCAGTCTGGCGCTGAGGAGGAGTAGCGCTTCCGGTCGAGATCGCGTTGAGTGGCATGGTCCAGCAGCTTCTTCTTCACCAAGGTGTTGAGGACCTCCTCGGCGTCGATCTTCGAATTCTTTTGCATCGCTAGGCAGATTTCGGCAGATGGTGGGGCCGAGTCCATCAGCTTCTTGACCCTCTCGGTGAGCATTCTCAGGGTCATCGCAGGAGCGTCCATCTTGGTGTTCTGACCATGCCTCAGTTGCTAAGGCTTCTGCCGTTTGCTCAGCCTTCTGAGCTTCTTTGACCTCAGGGTCATTGGCCTCAGTCTTCTCTTCTTCCTGAGTCTCGGCAGCATAGCCACCTGCCCAGTCACCAGTCGCCCCAGTCATGCCAAGGGTCAGGTGAGGCATATAGAAGGCGTCCCAAGACCAATCATTCTCACCCTCGAGCTCCTCAGTCATGTGGAGTTCCTGAAAGTGCTGATGCCCGGATGTCATAGGCGAGGATGAAGTTCGAGCACCGGTGAATTGCTCGTCCCACAGTGTTTGGAGTGCCTTGTTCACACCTTCGAACTCTTAGGAGCCACGTGTGGTCGAGTGGATGTCCCTCCGTTCCTCGGCCGTCAGGGACTCCACGAACTCGGCGAAGCCTAAACATTTTCTCACCAGGAAGGAGGTCATAGGTTCATTGTGCCTCCTGCGCAAGTCAATATATTGCGCACAAATGGCTGAGGCATTTGGGATGCTCTGTCGGACAAGTGGGCTTGCAGCCAACCTCTGGAGAAGTGTTCGAGTGGCATTGTAGTACAGCAACCGAGCAGCTCCGGACAACTTTGCCAGCAGCTAGCGCCTCCAAGTTCGAGCCGTCCCATCCCAGGAAGGTACCTGGTAGTCGCCCTTGTCAGTCATGGTTCACTTCTCGATTTGCGCGGTCGAGAAACCCGCTTTGCTCTGCTCGAGAAACCCGCTCTGCTTTGCTAGGTGGAGAAAAGGAAAAACGTGGGGCTCAAAACAAATCCAAGTCAGGTCACCGCTCAGGCCAGTCCCGTTGGAGATGTTGAGAAGGAGCGGTGCCTCAAAGACAAGGAAGTAGGGCGGCGAAAGCACCTGCGAGGAGATCCAGTTGAGGATGTACTCAAACTCGTTCAGGAGCGCCGCCACCTAAAACCCCAATGCAGCGGGTGCGCAGGGAGCAAAACACAAGGCCTATGGCAAAACGGTCCGCAAGGAACGAGCTCGTTTTCCGCGAACACTGAGTTTGACGTGCTTGGTACACAAAAGGGGGGCCCCCTGCGAGCAGAAAGGCCAACATGCAAAAAAGGGTCAACTGCGCATGCCGCTGGAGGTCCTCGCAGAATGCCAACTATTGATATATATATATGTTCTTTAGGAGCACGTGCCAATTATAAATTCGCAAATATGCTTTTGTTTGAACTGCATTTCCGGGAGTCCAGGACCTTCGATCAGTCACATCACGGTTTTTGGACTTTTGGACTTTGGAATTGTCGTCGCAGGTGTGACGAGTGATTTCACATGTGCTTTTCTTTGTCCAGGCGAGAGCTTTTTGATATCATCAAGGTGAAGGAGTTAAAGTCCTTTGAGGAAGTGCTGTCATCTGTGGGACAGGGTTCCTGCGACGGCTGTGAACTGTGCAAACCCATCGTGGCCTCGATCTTGTCAGGCCTTTGGAATGATCATGCACTGAAGGCCGGCCGGGACCAGATTCAAGACACCAACGATCGGTTCTTGGCCAACATCCAGAAGACTGGAACCTACTCAGTGATCCCGCGATGCCCTGGGGGTGATATCACCCCTGACACACTCATCGCGTTTGCCACCACTGCCAAGAAGTATGGCCTTTGGACTAAGATCACTGGCGCCCAACGTTTGGGCATGTATGGTGCCAAGATCCATGACCTGCCGGACATCTACAAGGAGTTGGTGGATGCTGGCATGGAAACAGGACCCCTCGCAGAGTAGACATCGCTGTGTGAAGCCAGTTGCAAGGGATGCAAAAGTACCAAGCAAGGCCCGTAACCAAAAGTCAAGACATGTACGGACAGCGGTTGGGATTAGCCTGCGCTAATGTCACTAGAGGTTCTTGTTTGGGCTGAATTTTTCTGACATGTATAGAGCTGAGATAGAGTGGACTTGTCTAAGAATCGGCAACTTAGCAGTTCCAGTCATACGCTGTGTTTCTCAACTACTGTATACATACATACATGCATGCATACATACATACATACATAAAGCCACGAGTGGTCCAAGCCGGTCCAATACAAAGCCGGATACAGGAAGACCAGCCATAAACTCCCCGTCCTGTTCGGCACTGGACTCCATCTAACAACATTATGACGCCAAGCAAGACATCCAATTGGTGCAGAAGCTACACTCCATGTGGCAATTCCACATGCACCAACTGGATTTGGGACGACAGGCGGGAACAAGATGTCGAAAGTGTGGCGCTTGGTGGCAACATGCTCATCAACCCACTGGCAAAGGCAAGGGACAGGGCCACGGCGCACGAAGCAAGGCTTCCACCAAGGCCACATGGCCCCAGAAGACCTATGCTGAAGCACTCCTGGACTCTCCACCCGGCCTCCAAAAGCTCAGGCCGCTAAAGAAGGGCAAAAGCTAGCAAACGGCAGCTGACCTTCTTGCCACTACGTGGGATGTCATTTTAGGTGAGGTTCAAAGCAAACTCTAAGCCCTGGGATTTGCACCTCAATGCACTACCCAAGGCAGTCCAGGACGTGGTCAACAAGTTGACAGAAGGAGATTGCTCAGAAGTTGAAGACCCAGGTCACTGACCTCAAATCCATCTCCATCAAAAGGACTCAGTTGCAGGCCAAGCTCGATGCCATCAAGGCTCAATATGCTTCCATGCTGCAGGACATGCAAGAGCTCCAGACAAAACTGACGGAAGGCCAGCAGAAGTTGAAAACACTCTCCGAGCAGTACATGAAGGCTGTAAGTCAGAGCCCAATGCCAGAAGAGCTCACCAAGACTGCCGAGGCGGAACTCCCAATACCGATGGCAGTAGAAACATTCGTCTCCAGCCTGGTCATGACTGATGACCAACGCAGTCAATTGCACCGCCTGCTAAAGCGGCCTAGCATCGACGAGGACGAGCAAAGCAAGCGACGCAAAACAGAGGCGCCGGCAGCACTGCCACCAGGAGGACACTGTGAGTAACACTACCCCAACCTTCCAAAGGGACCGCTCAGGGATCATGGTGCCCGTCCCAAGGGACGGTTTTGATGATGATCCAAACACCGTATGGGTTTGCCGTGCTGCTTCTGACTCAACACAAAGGGGGGCGGTCAGATGTTTGTCAAGGTGCAGGGGAACAGACAAACACCCTTTCTTTCAAGCACCGCCAAGGGACTTCTCAGACACAGGTGAAGGGGAGATTTTGATGTCTTCAAAGGTATTGACAGGGGCGTGGATGGACCTACGCTTGGGGCGCCACGACCAGCTGTCGTCTCGATCAAAGGTGGAGCACTACCAAGCAGCTCAACAGGCCATAGAAGCCAGGCCGCGCACAGGATGCAGCAAACCTACACATCCACGACTGAATGCATTTTACAGAACCTCTCCATGACAGTGGGTAACCC